CTATTTTCGAATTTCAATTTCAGTTTTATTTATACAGCGGTTGCCTCAAGGCACTTTATATTGTAAGGTCGACCCTACAAGACTTTTCTGTCTAACAACCGTTTCACTTGCTTATGTGTGGTTATTGATGTTTGCCTATTTATGCAGGTAAGAGACCATGTAGAAATACTGCCATCAGACAACATTTCCAGATGGTCTCTCTGTTGTTCATACTTGAAGGCACTTTTCCCTCTAAGCTGCACGTGTGTGCAGTCGCGCACTGCCGACACTCTCTGCCCACAGGAAATCTGCAACAAAGGCCAACCTGACTTGAAATTTAAATAAATACATTATGGTGAAGTTTAAGTTCTCAGTGTCTTCTTCTTATTGAGAGCTAGGTGGGCAAAACAATCGCACAAGTGCTGCTGAGTGGCTGAGGAAGAATTAAGTAGTCATGGTAAACCAAAGTAGTCATGACCAATTTAAGATGACAGCAACAAGATGTTCCAAACTAAGACAACCTTGATTCTCCATTTTTGTGTTAAAAGTGGGGACTTAAACTATATACCAGCTTTTAAATTGTGTTGATCGGCCACATGAAACAGAGTTATAAATAAAAATATACGCAACGTATTTTTTTCCTGAATACTATCGTTGTTTATGTTTACTGCAGGAAGAAACAGTAAAAGCAGCGTTTTCTAGGGAGAGCACTCTCCGTTTGTAAGCAAAAACAAAACCCAAAAACCCCGCCCCTTTTCTGTTGGTGGAAAAATGTACCAAGTTGACAAATCCAAAAATGATATGGCAACATGGCATTTGGTTGTTTAGGAAGAGGGGGAAGTTTTACGAGTGACGGCGGTGAGAGAGCAGAAGCGAGCGAGAGAGCGAGACTTGAGGTGTGAGAGATTTGTGATGTTTAGCATGTTTGGACTGTGTAGTTAGTTTGTTTTGTGTCAGAACAATGAGGCAACTGCTGAATGTCACAGGTGCTGCTTAAAAAGCCACCAAAGGCAGATTGCAGTGTAAACACTGTCTCCAGGTGGGAAACAGGAGGAGTGACACATCTCCTGCTGTCAGGCCTGCAGGTATCAGGTGTGTGATGTCCTCATTTATCTCATAGTGGACAGAATCTATATTTTGAAGCTGCACATATAATTTGTGTGGCATCTTATTTGATGCAGAACACCTGATTGTTCTGTAAATAGTTTGAAATGTGTATTTAAAAAACTGCCTCGGCTGCATTTTTAGGTAAATTGACTATGTGCACGTTAGCATATGCTACTTCCGGTGCGGAAACTCCTGTGGGGAGCTTTGTTTCCGGTGTCCTATTCATGCCTTGTTTACGGTCCAAAACAAGTTAAGCAAATGAATGAATCAAGCGGCGATTTACATTTCTATAGATGTCTCGGGCATTTACCCAATATATCTGTAAACGATGTTCATCGA